CACCAGTTGCCCCACCTCTAGTTGGAGGGTATGGGTATGGTTCGGCGTGCCATTCTCAGGCGGCTGGGGTTGGTCACCATTTTCCTTCTTTGCTCCTGGTCCCAGTGTTGCAATTGGTGTTGGAGGTGGATTCGATACTCATCTTCTTTTTGTTTCTTGGTGCTGTTGTAGCTATTGTGAGGAGATTCCTTGGATCAAGAGATGAAGATAAGTATTAGACTATTAGTAAATAGATAGGCAACAAACATTTTGAGACTTTGATGAATTTAAAAATAGAGATGCTTTATTCACAAACATTTTCAAATAGTTCCCATTTCAGTTTTCTCAATTGATGTCTAGAAGAGTCATAATATTGATAGCAGCCTCATCTTGTGCTAGTCATGATAATTCGTATATCTGTGCAAAATAAGAAAACTGCATGCTACAATTTGGGTCGATACATTAAACACGAATTTTTTTTGTTGATAAAATCATATTTGATTTTTGTCAAAATTTTAAACTGTATTATTTTTATAAACACTGAATTTTATTCGAAATATTTTTTAACATGATTGATCTGAGGCTTATCTATGAACAAAAAGTCAAGATCATTTACAAAGGTCATTTAAAATCCGTAAAGACTTCATAAATTTGTCAATTCAAAACACAAAATCAATTTGAGTCAAAATGAGTCAAACAAAGTCAAATTATGTAAATTTTGATCAAAATGAATAGAGTAATGTTAATTTTAAAATTTCAAGACCTCACTGAAATCAAAGTATTATTATATTGAATTTGAAATTTTTTTTAAAACATTAAAATTTTCATTGTGTCTCGAGAAATATCAAATTATCAAAATACTCTTATAAGAGGTATTTTTATAATTTAATCTTTTTGAGCTCATAATTTCGTGAAACCTTTTAGATCTCACTTTTATAACATTTCATTATTTTTGGTGAGTTCGAAATCATAATAATATCTCTAAAAGTATGAAATTATCAAAATACCTATTTGAGGGTATTTTTGTGATTTGACTTTTCAAGCTCAAAATTTCACAAAACTTTTTAGATCGTAATTTTATAATATTTCATGATTTTTAATGCATTTAAAATTATAACAACACCTTAAAAATGTAAAATTATTAAAATACTTTTATAAGAATATTTTCATAATTTAATATTTTCGAATTTAAAATTTCACGAAACTTTTTATATTATAATCTTAAAATATTTCTTAATTTTTGATGTTTTAAGATCTCAAAAATATCAGACAACCTTTATTTCTAAGAAAATAATCGTAAATTTCAAAATTTTACGTTAAAGGGTAAAATAATCTTTTCCATGGGTTGGAGGGGCATAAAGGTTCAACCTTTGCGGTGAGTAGTCTGAGCCGTTGGATCCTTTAATGGCTTTTAATCCAAGGACCAAGGTGGCCCCTTGGAAATAAGAAAAGGAGGAATTTTGGCCCTTGGATGAGATTTCATCCAAGGGCCCTCATTTGAGTAAGATGAAAATCTTGCATTTCTTGGGTCGGCCGAACAAAAACAGAAGGGGGGAAGTTGCGGGAAGAAAAGAGAGCTAAAAAAAAAAACAGAAGAAGGGGAAGTTGAGGGAAAAAAAGAGAGCTAAAAAAAAAGAACAGAGGGAGGAAGCTTCTGGTAAAAAAAAAAAAGAGGAGCAAAAAAAAAAAGAAGAGAAGCCAAGAGAAAATAGTAAGAGTGCAAAGATGGGGCAGCCCATAAAAAGGGCATATGTTGCCGTTAGCATCTCTGTTTTTTTTACACTATTCTTGCACCGTTCATGGTCTTTTCTGCAAAGTGTTCCTTTTGCTTCTTACATGCTTAATGTTGACATGAATGTTCATAAATTTTGAAGCTTTACATGTTCTTTGTATCTTTTTTTTTTTTAACCAAATAGTTGGAGTTCCATTTCTGGTTTTCTGGTTCAGCCGAATGCTCCCTGCCTCCTCTAATGGCAGCTGCAGCAATCGGCTTCATCCCATAAAATCTTGCCAAATCCTTTTCTCTTCCATCTTTCATGGTCATCCTTTAGTTAGAATGAGTTGAAAAAAAAAAAAAAGAGACCTGGAAAGCTGCTGCCAAACCGTGCTGCTTAGCTTCCATAAGCAGTCACGGTTTGGATGTTTTTATGTATACAGGACATCCCATTTTGACTTGGAAAGAAGGCTTTAACAGAAGGTGGTTTCTAAAGTAAGGAGGTAAGTTGTTTGAGGGGGAAGAAATGTTTAAAAGTTTGAGTTTTTCTTTCTGTTCCAGCTCTTAGTTTCACGTGTGGGTCTGGAACAAGCCATGAAGTTTCAAGCTGCATGTCTTAAAGCTCCATCATTTATATGTTTGCTTCCTTGTGTGTTTAAAGAGACTTAAAGTTTCAACATGTCTCTTGCTTATGGTTTATTTTCCATGCATCTACTTGTAGGAAAGCTTAGGCCATTTTGATTTGTTTTACTAGTTTGTGCCATCTAGTTTCGGTTCTTGTTGTCCTTGTTATCAAAGCTGAGTGTCTCTTCACTGTTTCATGTTGATTGGTGTTAAAATATGAAATAGAAAAGATGTCATATGTAGGTAGTGTCTCAAGGAAGGTAGGGTGGTAATGGGTGTCTTGGGAGACCTTGATGGGGTCATTGTTTTCTCTTCTTGGTTTGTAGTCATTGTATGAGGCGTTGCTTGCTGCATGTAGGCTGCTTGTGTTCTTTCATTATAATGAAATAGTGTCAAACAAAGAAAGCCACATATGAAGAAGAAACAAAGGCCATGGCGTGGGGACCATTGTGGCTTTCTTTATTTCTTCTTTGCATTTTTAATGGATTGGTTTAAAATGGAATGCTAACACCATTTAGGCAGTAAAAAGGGTTGACGTGGAACCACGGTAATAGATCTCATATATTTCTTTTAATCTTGATATGAATATAATAATAATAAAAAAATAAAGTAGTGACTTTCTTCATTTAGAATATGGAGACAAGTAAATATAAAATTTGTTTTCAATAAAATTTATTTTTAGGTGTTTGATTTTAATTATATTCGTACAATTTGTTTATGATTATTTAAATTTAATTATAAGTTTAATTCTATATATTATTGATTTTTTTATTATTTAAATTTTCATAGTCATTTTAATTTAATATTTTGTGTTTAAATTTATGTGTGATATATTTTATTTTTCATTCGTGTAATGAGAATATGAATGAAATTTTTCGAAGATAATATTTTAAAGAAATTCTGAGTAGAAGATTCTCTAAAATATTTAAGTAAGAATTTTCTTTTAAATATTATAATGAAGTATTTAAAAAAATATTCGATAAAAAATTTTGGAGATTGTTATAAATAATGTAATGACTTTTTTAGTAGCAAAATTAATATAATCAAAGTTTAAAAATTAGATCAAGAAAAATATAATTAAGTAAGAAATGACAAAATGAATAAAATTTTTCTGAGATTTTAAGAAAGTTCGAATAGAGATTTTTAAAAAATCTCTAGATAAAAGTTTTTTTTAAAAATATTGTTAAAGTATAAAAGTATTTAGAAAAATTTTCAATTAATTTTTATTTACTTTGTTCTTTCTAAAATTGTTATTGATAATTAAATGATAGATTAAAATTATTAAAGCATAGTCATATATTATTTTATACAGTAGTTCGTATAATTCTATTTTATTTCCTTTGCTCCTTTCAAATCTTTGATAATTGTAGAATGTTTCTAATGACTTTTTTTTTTTGCATGCCTATCTACTTTATAGTTTGCATTACACATCTTTAAATATGTATATATATATATATATATATATATTTTATGATGGGATTCGAGAAAATCTATGTAATGATTTTCGAGAATTCTTTAAGTGAAAAAAAAATTTTAAAAATTGTCAAAGCATTGAAATTTTTAAAAGCTTTTTTTCAATATGAAAATTTTCGTTTAATAATCATTTTCTTTAACTTGAACAGTTTCTTTAAATAAAAGAGTTTTTTTTAAATAAATTTATAGGTATATTATTACATGATTTTTAATGTTTTCGAATTAAAAAAAAAAACAAAAAATTTTCGAGAATAAGATTATAAAGAAATTTGAGTAATAATTTTTTAAAAGTCTTTAGGTAAAAAAATTTATTTAAAATACTGCTAGTGTATTGAAGTATAAAGATTAATTTTCGATAAAAATTTTTCGTTCTTCTTTAGAAAGGAATTTTTTAGAAAATGATATTTTATGTTAATATATATATATATACATATATATATATTGAAAATAATTATGAACAACCAAAGATATGTTTTTCGAGGATTTCAAGTAGTAATTCTTAAAATTTTTTAAATGAGATGATTTTTTTTAATATTGTTAGTGTATTAGAATATTTTTAGAATTTTTTTCAATACATGGTTCTTATTTATTTTCAAGGTTATTAAATAAATCAAAAATATTTTTTAAATGAAAAATAGAAAAAATTAGTTTTTTATAATACCAAGGTCAATATCATTTTTATTAATATTAAAAGATAATACATAATTAATTAGTTTCGTTTTAAAAAGACGTCATGAGGATGCTAATTTTTTTTCACACGTAATTGACTCCCACACTTAATTTGTTTTTCGTAGATTAAAATTTTTTTTTAATAAAATTTTAAATATGTTTTATTATTTTATTAAATGATAAAATTTTTAAATGATCACTCACACCAAAAAAGAATTGATAGAGATTTTATTTTATTTATTTTTTTCAAATTCGTCTTACGTCTCAAAATCGTTATAACTTTCATATTATTTTGTATGGTTTTATTCCGTGTCTTTTATGTTATATCTAAAATTATTAGGCCTAACTTCGGCCATACCTCCACTGGTACATAAAAGTATGCCAATTAAGCTGCAAGAATAAACCGTGGCTATCACTTGTATTTTAGGTGGATAGGTTTTTTCTGCCCAGGATTGTTAATTCAAGTTCATTCATGCATAAACTATTTGCAAAACGATCCATCACGTTGGTATCTCCCGTTGCATTGCTATTTTAGCAGGAATTACTATAAATATTCCTCATCTTCCTTATTAAAACAGTAAAAAAAAGTGAAACGTACAGCATGAACTAGAATTGAATATATCATGACTAGAACAAAAATGATAATGGATCTTAGTTTGAGCCATGACAAATTGATATAGTAAGAAATCTGTGCGAGAACACCTATTCATTTTCTGTCAGTAAACATCTCCGAAAAATGATGTTCCTCACTGTTTTCTTTCAATCAAGCAGTTGGACAGCTGCAATAGCAGGTATTTTTTCCCTCAATTTTTGTGTTAAAGCAACACGGACGGTCATAACTCCAGCTGCAGGGCCGGTAAGACTCACTTGTACAACGTAGTCATTTATCTGAACAAGCTCAAGTTCTCCACCTCCTGTGCCTACGAGGTATGGTCTAATCTCATCAAGAACCTGTAACAAATGAGAAAAAAAAAAAGAAAAAAATGACTGAAAATTCTCGATCAGTAGAGATTCAGTTATCTAACCTTTTCAACGTTTTCTTCATTTAGCTCAAGCCCTGTCTCAGTGTCCATGATCTGCTCTACTTCCATAATTTCGGGAATTTTATCTCGAAGGCGAGTTTCAATTCCCGTCTTTAGGGTCATTGTTGAGCTTGGACATGAGCCGCATGCTCCTTGCAACTTTAATACCACAACAAGGCCATCTATTTCATGCAAAGCCACATTCCCTCCATCAGCCATTAAGCCAGGACGTACCTCATCCAAAACCTTCTCCACATTCTCCTCAGTCAATGGAAGGACACAGCTTGGTGAAACCACTAGCCCTTTGGCATTGGAAAACCACAACCTCATTCAGTTTTACCGATGAGCATATTGAGAAAAGGAAGATGAAGACAAATTAATGAAATTTCAGGCAAGATTCAACTCAAGGTTTTTAAAAGATGCGGAGGTTTTACATTTTTCACTCACTTGGTTCCACAACAATTGATAAAACTAAAAAGATAATTATTCATGAACGTCATAATCTATGTTTTAAGACTGCAAAATGATTATGGCTATGGGCAATTTTTTCTTTATATTTGAACCTAGCTCTTTGATTAAGGCATATATTCACCAATCATTAAGTCAATTGCGTTTACTGTAAGTTAAACATTTTTATCACAACCAAAAGGATGGTTGTGTTGGGATAAGATTCACATGTGAGTAAAAAATCTTACATCATTATGAAATTTGAATGAGATGTCCTATATATATAAGGATCCAAGAACTCAATAATTTAAGTTTATATATATGGGCTCTTTGGTGTGCTTCCGTAGGCTCCAAATGTGATATATCTCTCCAACAACTGGTATCGGAGCCAAAGTCATGGATTCCAATCCCGATAGTATTGCTGAGGGAGATTATTGGTAGATCGAAAGTTGGCCACATCCATCAGCTCCATGTGCTCGAACGCCGATATCAGTGTAAAAAGATTCAATTTAGATGTAGCGAGAAATCCACTTGGTTTCAAACTTGGCAAAACCCAAAGTTATCATTTTCTTTGGATTGCACAACCTAAAAATTTTTTCGAGGATCTATAAGAAGATAAAAAAATAACAGACTATATCAAGAATTATATACAAAAAAATATGAGAATATCTTCAAGTGTTGAGGCAATTGCACATATAGAGATTCAAAAAGGAATTGATCTAATTCAACTCATAATCTATATGGAATTTCCTAAATTATAAATTGAAGTTAGGCTGCGAAAACTCGAAGAACTACAGATGAATATGCAAAAAGAACTTAATTGTATGAACCAAAAACTCAACATTGCTATTACAAGAATTGCAAATCCTTACGGGCACCCTAATATTCTTGCTGAATTTATAGCTGGACAATTAAAGAATCGAGCTAATATCAAAGTGAAAAGGTTTGACTTGGATGCGGTAAGTATATGATAATATGCAGAAGCGGAACATCTAAGTGGACAATGTATTAAGTCAACTTAGAGTGTAAGCTTGAAGAGGCACTGAGACAACCTAGGCAACAAGGTTGTGTGCTATGATTGAGTCGAGCTTGAGAGTCACTGAGACAACTTAAGCAGCAAAGTTCTATGCTATGACTGAAATCTAAGCTTAGAGGGCATTGAGATAACTTAGACCCATAGAGAGACAAGATTGAATGCTGGGCCCAAAGGGTATTGAGACAACCTAAACCCACAGAGAGGCAAGGTTGAATGCTGGGCTTAAGGTGCACTCAGACTATCCAAGACGTGAGATTGCTTAATCCAAAATGAGGTTTTGATAAGATTTACTCGTATGGGGAACCGATGTGAGACTTGATTAAAACTCACAAGTGAATGGGGAGATTGGTGGGTTAAGGTTCACATATGAGTAAAGAATCCCACATCACTAAGAATTCTGAATGAAATGTTCTATATATACATCGAGGACCCAAAAACTCAATAATTTAAGTTTTTGGGTTAAGTGGTGTGCTCTAGCAGGCTTCAAGTGTGACTTATCTCCCAACATGTTCTTTCTTTGTTTCAGATTTAAATAATAATAATAATAATAATAAAAGGGAATAATATCTTTGCTGGGAATTTGTATTACATGCCAAATACAGTACCCATTAAAACGAAGAGGACACAACAATCTAATTAACCCACAAAAGTCGCCAGCTGTTTTTTAACAGAAGAGCTTGCAGCTTGAGGATAAATGAAGGATTAAATGTGCCGAGAAATCCCATACTTTTTTGTTGCCCTTTTTTAGAATAACCGACACGATTCAATTGAACTAAGCTCTGAGTTAAGCTCTGGGTTCACCACGGCTGTTTTTGAATGTACCAAATTTCATCTATGAAACCTATCACAGAATTATACTCAAAATTTCTCCATTTTCAATTCTTAGTTTTCTTCAGGAATATCATTATCAAATGAATTATCTAAAAACCCAGCAAACATTGCTCCAACTCAATCATTAACACAAAAAGGAGAATATTGCTATTCCATTATAATTACCTCTTTGCTTTCTCCGAGCACGGCTTGAATAAAAACTCAGAAATTGTCTGTTGTTAAATTGGCCCCTGAGGAAAGCATTATCCTTTGAGGAGAACCCACCTGAACCTGAAACGGGGTTCTAAAGATAAAAACAGCAGCACATTAAAAACTCACCAAAGATTGCATTAAAGACCAAACAATGAAACTGTAAGAAGTTAAAGGACTTAAATTGGTACCTTAAAGAGGGATAAAAATGGAGGTAAGGCTTCTTTAGACGAAGAGAGACATGGGTTCAATGCTGCAATTGGTCTTGCTTTGAGTGCTGCTTGTGTCTGTGTCGAAATTGCACTCATTTCTGGCTTTTAAAATTTTTTTTTCTACGATCGCTAGAAATGAAACCCCATTTGAAATGAAGTGGTAATTCTCCAACAGGATTTAACTATACTAATCAGAACCTATGTTTAAGTCTACCTGTGGATTGTTACAGTACTTTTTGATTGGCTAATGGAAGACGATAAACGAAATCCGCCACGAGTGGGCAGTCTTTTTGTGGCTAGGAGTGCCGATTGCACGCGGGCTATACCGTTGAAGTTACATGTAACAGAACTGATTCGTGGCAATTCCATTCACCACAAATTAATGAATTACTACTAATTTTTCAATTACTTTCAAAATCCTACAAAAACTTTCAAAGGTGTATCGTTTCATTTTTCTAAGTATTATTTTTTAGCTCAAAATATTTGATATGTATTAATTTTTATGAAATTTAAAAGATTTTTTTAATTTTAATCTATTTAATATTAAATTTTAAATTTTTTTTATAAAATTAAAATTTTATAATTTTTAACATCAAAAAATAAAAAATATAAAAAAATAAAAATTTTAGGTATTAAAAAAAAAAGCGTAACTTTGAAACATTTAAAAAAAATGGACAAAAAAAAAAAAAGACAGAAGGAGTTATATTTTAATTTTTAGGTTACGTTAGTTAGTAAATCAGTTCATATATTAAATTACATTGGCAGAATACTATTATACACAAATCTACTTTGATAGCATATTAAACTTTAGGACCCACATCTCACTTAAAACTTTTATTTATTCAATTTTATATTGATTTTATTTTATTGATATTTTATTTATTTTTTCATAAATATTGTAGCGATATGTGAAACATATTAAAAGTGATTTAATTAGGATTGCAAATTTTACCAATAAATGTAAATTCGTTAAGAAATAGTTATATATTCAATATATATGGTGGCAAAATTGAAATGAATTCAAAATATTTGTTTAAGTCATTTGAACTTAAACTCGATAAATTCAATTAGATAAAAAAAATCTAATAACTCAAATCAATTCAACTCAAATTCAAATTATTCAAATTTTAAATTATTTAAATTTAAATTAATTTAAATTTAAAATGATCCGAACTTGAATGACTTGAAATATTTACTCAAAATGATCGATTAATTAACTTAATTTTATATCTCAAATTTATTTAGTTTTATTAATATTTACTAGTAAGTAATAAATATTAAAATTAATTATTAATTTCTAAAAAAATTTAATTTAGAGGTAGATTAATAATATTATATATATTAATTTTAGTAATATAATAATCTTATAATATATAAGTATTAAGATTAGTTGTATTGAACAATTAAACTTTTTAAGTTTTTGTTAGGATTTTAAAAAATTATACAATATAATTTATACTTATACAATTATATTTACTTTATTATACATAGAATTAACATTCAAAATCTAATACTATAACTTAAAAGTTAGGAACAAGCCAACTAAGTCATGCCATGTCAATGGCCAATAGGCAATATGTCATTTTCATTTTTTATTGTACTATTTGCTATTAAAATATTAAAATTATATTAATACTATATCAAGTACTTTTGATATTTTGAAAATTCTTTAAAATATTAAAATTAGATCATTTTTTTAACATTATCTTACTCTTTAATGTTGATTTTTCTTGAAACTATATAATTATTTATTCATTTTCAACTCATTACTAGTAAGAAACGTGTAGAAGTATGATTGTATGAAATGTCAATATGAATTATTAATTATAAATTAATAATTAATATATGAAATATTAAAAATAAATATCAAATATCAGTCAATAAAATTATTAATAATTTTTATCATGAACAAAGTTAAAATATATTTGACATAACATAATTTTATATTAATAAATAACTTTTAATTGATTTAATTTTGATATTTAATTATATTTACTTAATTTTAAAAATTAAGAAATTGAACTTGAAAGACATAAATATTAAACCTAAAATGATCTAAATCTAAACGATCGTACGATTAAATATAAATTAAGGTGGGCCTTGGACCTGACGAGAATTAAGGTTTAGACTTCTTCTTGAACGTAAGTTTGGTCGCCTCAGTATCTACTGTATTTATTATCTTTCAATTGAGTCGTTGTTTGATAAACATTTTGAAAAATTTTTAGAATTTTTTTTTCAATATACAGTTTTTTTTTTAAACTCAAAATAATTCTTAACATATCTTTAAACCCTCCCTAACTCTTGTATTTATCTTATTGAAAATGACATTACATGTATCAATTTATTGGAATTTACGATCTTAAAAAGTTTACTCAATTGATTTTAGAGACGGTAAACCCTTGCTGTCTCTACGTATTGAGGCAATTAGTATTAATTTCTTTTTTTTTTTTTTTAATTTTAAAATAACTCATCCAACAAATGGATTCTCTTTTTGTCTAATTTGATTTCTCCTTTTAAACACAAATGATCCCCTAACAGCAATGCAATCAGGATTTAAGATTCTTGTCTGTTCGATCTCGAGAGCAATGTCTCCTCCATGTGATCTTACTTATTTTAATTACTTTTAGATATTAAACAACTAACAGTCCAATCACTTTGTTCTTTGTATCAAATGGCTAAATGAATCTTAAAAAATTTGGATATTTTTAACAACAATGATTGAAGGATGAAAAAAGAATTAGGTGAAACGTAATAATAAAAGAAGCACTAGATCAACAAGGTGGGATGAGAAGACATATTGTTAACGTGAGGGATTGCATGGGATCCAGAGAAGATAAGCTTTTCGGTTTGGCCCAAAAATATAGAGATTCCTTTGGGCCCTTCAATTAAAATAATCCAAATCTTTTTGCCAGTTTGTTTTTCCTTTCCATTGGTTAAGAAGTGATGCAATGAATGTGGGAACTGAAGTGTCTGCAGCAGGCTTTAATTTTAAGAATGATGCGTTTTAAGAATCTTCTGCTTTGTTTATGTATGTCCATTTTTGTATTCGTATTAAATACACATAAAATATAAGAATTATTATATCATAATTTGTGATGATATGTTAAATATAAATATATATTTTTTTATTTTTGTCAAAGAGAAATTAATTTTTTTTAAGGGAAGGGCATAGCCCTTATATGGGAGGAAGGAGAGAAGATTTTGTTTCGAAATTAGGACTTTTATATCCTCATAAAACCTCCATAGTCACTAAACCAAGAGGTGGAGGGCCAAAAAAAATTATTTGATTCATTTAAAGATTAAAATGATACCAATCTTCTATTTCTTTTTTAAACTAGTTGTTTTAAATATATAAAAAAACGTGTGTCATTATCTTAACTTTACTTATGAAATTAAAAATTTTCATTATCAATGTATTAAACAATTTTTTTTATTAAATCTATATATAGTTTTTATCAAAAATTTAAATAGTATTATTTTATTTATTTTTTTCATATTATTTTTATATTGTATCTAAAATTATCAGATCTATTATTGTTCTTGTTAGCTGGCCTGGCTTGCTCTACCATGATTTTTGCCTCCTTTATATTCTTTTAATTATATCATTTTTAGTTAATTGCATGGTAATTTAATAGCTTAGCTAGGGCTTCTTACATCAAGCACCAAAACTAACAGTGGTTCTGTTTTGATTTGATTCCCACGAGCTTGCTGTTTAGTTAATAATAAGGGATAGTCAAATAAGACTATGTTTGGCATTACGATTTGAGCTGTGTTTGATCATTAAACTTGTGTTAAACAAAATAAATTTTGTGATAAAAAATTTACATTGCAATGAAATTTTTTAACCCAAACACAATTAAATAATAGGAGATCTAATCTATTGCGATTGCTTTCAGTTGCAATCTTTAACTTAATACTAAACTGGACCTAAGCTGTTTTGTTTTTTCTTCTTTTAAAAAGTAAGCTATTTTGTTTTTATATGATCAATGCTCATTAACAAAACTTTTAGCAGTACAAAAAATAAAGAAAAGAAACAAATGTGTTCAATATTTTGGTGTTGGAAATATATGTCCCATTAAAATAAATGGGTCCATTTTTATGCTCAAAGCATCCACTTACGAGTAGTTAGAGACAGTTACCAGCTTTATCCTCTCAAAAAGTTTATGCTCAAAAGCCTCATGAGATTATATTAATTATTATTATTACTATAAAATATATTATTAATTACTAAATTCGTGTAAGTGGAAATCTTAATCAAGTAGTGGTGTCCTTTTTACTCTAATATGGGAAATTTTACCTTCAAAATATAATATGCATAATTATCTACAAATCAAACATAAGAGTCAATTGCTTGTTTAATCAGCAACCTATAATTTACAAAATGTGCCCCTCTTGAAGAATCTCAATTAATCAGTTTATCTGTGGATTAAAGCATAATTGTTAATTTTGTTTTGATAATGGTCTATATGTTTTAATTATATTAAAAAATTATACATTTAAGAATATTTTTTGTATTGAATTTGGTATTGGATAATACCAATTGTTTTTGTTAATTTTCAGTTGGTTTTTGGTAGATTAGTTTATTTTGATTGATACTTAAATGTGAAATATATTTTATAATTTATAATTTATTTTTTGTTGTTTAACTTTTTTTAACTTAATAAAAATTAAATTAAATGACAAAATAACTACTAAAAGTTGAATTTTTTTATTTTTTATTGTAATTTTTTTATTTTTATTTTTTATTTTTTCAAATCAAAATTCATAAATATTTTAATCTCTTTAAAGAAAGTAATTGTACTTCCTTTTTAAAATTTAATAATTGTGAAGTCAAAGTTAATTTTTTTTATTTCTTTGTTTTTATCTGAATATTTGTATAAAAAATACTTATTTAAATATCATATGATCAGATTAAACGTTTAAAAATATCATAAAAAATTTATGATATTAATTTTATAATTTTAAACTTAATTATTTGATTTTTAAAAATATTACATATTTATTTTGTAAATTATTAATAGTATTATAATGTATAAATCATATATATTTATAAATATATTTATACTAAATCAAAAAATAAAAAATAATATATCAAAATTACGGATATCGATATATATCATATTTTTTAAAAAATTCAAAACATTATTTGATACTATATTAATAATTTTGCATCAAAATCAAATCACAAAATGAACATTCCATTTTCTCCACTTGGATGGCAAACAAACAATTTTACAATAGTACTTAGGGACCATAATGTGAAAGAATTTTTGTACTTTGTCACGTTTT